GAGCTATAAGATGCTTTTTTTTTTCTTTAATCCTTCGTTGGTTATAGAGAAGAATCGTTCGTTACTTTGGTAAATAGCTTTGTCTCATAGTTCTATGGACTTTTAGTAGAGCAGATCATTAAGAAAGATTAATGATAAAAACACTTCTGCCTTTGTCTTCTTAAACCATGATTTAAAGTGTTGTCTCAAGAAGAGAAGTTTCTATGTAAAAAATGCAATGTTTCTTTTCTTGCAATTACTTTGTTCTAACATTTAAACCAGTTTCTAGAGCAGAATGATGTGTTATTTTGGTAATTAGCTTTGGCACTTGGTTCTCTTGAGTGTTAGTATGAAGATTACTAAAAAGGAAAGATTAATGACAAAACACTTTTGCATTTTTCTTCTTAAACCATGGTTTAAAGTGTTGTCTTAAAAAGAGAAGTTTCCATGGAAAAATATGCAATTTTTCTTTTCTTGCAAATTAGTTTGTTCTAAAATCTAAACCAGCTTCTAGAGCAGAATGATATGTTACTTTGGTAATTAGCTTTGCCTCTTGGTTTTTTGAGTTTTAGTAGAGTAGATTATTAAGAAAATATTAATGAGAAAATCACTTCTGCATTTTTCTTCTTAAACCATTGTTATGCATTGTTTTAAAGTCATATTTCAAGAAGATAAGATTCCAAGTAAAAATATGCAGTTATGCTTTCTTGCAATTTTTTCATTTTTTTGCAGATACTCTCTGAAATCTAAACCGGGTTCTATAAGGTGTTAAGGACATGCATACCTATTCTTTTCATTGCGCTATGCGACAATTACTGCTGATGAGTAAAGGAGGTATATATAGGTATATATATTGTGTGTGTATTTGCCGTCTTTATTCCAACAAGTAAACTTTCATAGCTATCTTATTTGGATCATTGTCATTATGTCAATATGTCATATCCTTGGGCAATGTTTTTGGAATACAGGGATGGTTCAAATCTTTTTTCATTTACTTTACAGAATGCATTTACATTATTTTTCTTTGCAAAATGTAGTTTTTCTCTTTAGATCTTTTTCAACGTATTTCAGCTAAAGATTATAGAAGAAAGTGAATGCTAAAATATGATAAAATGCTAGAATATGAGAAAATACAGTTTGTTGCTATGATTCTTCTTCTCTTTTCTTCTGTTATATTTTCAGCCATACTTTTCCAAAACAGTAAATCTCAAGTTTCAGTATGGCAGTTTAATTTTTAGACATTTAATTTAATTAAATATTTTAGTGCACTTGACGTGCACTTTGTCGTGGTGTGCACTCAAAATAATAATACAATACAACAATTATACGTAGTATAATGAAGTAAGGTTCGTATCCACAGGGAAAGGAATACTTCTCTCTTTATAAACTAGTAACAAGGGGGGGTTTAGGTTGAGTAAATGAACTTAAATTATATTTAAACACGAAGATGAACGAGTTATGTGGTTTAATTAATAAGAAGGAGACTTGGCTTTGCTTTTATCTACTTAATGAAATGTTCGTCGATCCCGGTTATATCTTTAACTATCTTCCTCTCGAATACTCAATCGAGGAGTATATCCAGTTCATCGAGGGTAGTTATTAATAACGAGAAGCGTTCATTAATAAAACTTACTACCGAGTCAATATAGAACAAGCGCCGTATATTAACTTGATAGTAGCAATAAAATCAAGATGAAAACGATTGAGATTGATAACCTCAACACAAGCGGTTTATTGGTTCAATCAATATAATTAATTCCCCTTGGCTTATTAACCATGAGAAGCATGCATTAACAACCCAAGTTTACTACCGTAAAAGAACCGAATTAATAACAAGCGTATTAATCGATTGATTCTAGTAATAATTAATTTATAGAACAAGACTAGTTGATACTTTAAGTAATGCTCAATATATTAATATGGAATATGAATAGGAAGTAATTAATATTCAAGGAAGAAGATTAAAGAAAATAACTCACAACTTACAAATCATTAAGCTTCAAAGTAGCAAAACCAAGATGGAAGAGTTTAGCTCCTCATTTGGAGACTAAACATGATGAAAAATATAAAGAAAGAACTTGTCTAAACTGAGCTAAGAAGTATATGTGAATTGGTAACCATATTGTGAAGGAAAGGAGGTGTATTTATAGGCTTTTTGGGGTGCAGGTCGGGTACTCGATCGAGTATATATATGTACTCGATCGAGTATGTGCAGAAAGCTGAATTCGATCCATACTCGATCGAATTTATAGTAGAATTCATAGCTATACCCGATCGAGTATGTCGGTGTACCCGATCGGGTATAGACACTCGATCGTGGGGAAATCTTCCTCTGCATGTTCCTTTGTTTTCGGATCCGATTCGATTTGAAATTCCAACCAGATACTCGATCGAGTATAGGAGATACTCGACCGAGTATAGACAAAAATCAGGATTTCCTTCTTTTGTCTTGTGATTTTGCACCTTCCTTCCACTTTTTGGGGTTCACCAACTGTCCTTGAGTGATGTCAGACCTGTTCGAGCTCAGAATAAACCTAATCTAAACAATTTACAAGAATTTAACAAACTAAACTATTACACCGAAAGTGTGTAATTTCCGAAATACTAAACAACCAAAACTAACTAAAAATGTAATTAAACACACAGAAATTACAAACGTATCAGCACTCAATCACTTGCTATAAAATGCACACCCATGGCCAAGCAGATTTTCACCACTCCAATACTTAGCCAGTGATTCTCTCTAAATCGTTTTTCATCTTAGTTTAATTTGAATTGATAATGGGTTGTGAAGGAATTGTTGGGAATTAATTCATGTTTTTCATAATGGTAGTTTTCATTTTATTTGTTTCATGCTCGGTTGCACAACTGTTGTGGAGGCAGTTGGTTTGGGTGGAGGCTTTTTTTACAGCAAATAATAGAGAGGATTGCAGCCTCATGGTTATGGTTTGTTGGGGTTTGTGGCTGACCAGAAATGAAAAAGGTGTGCCAGAATATTACTCCAAATCCAAAAGCATTTTAGCTCGGGTGAAAGGCTTTTGGTCAGCCTGGCAGCAGGCCTAGAAGCATGGGGCTAACAGAAGGAATTCGCAGCAAGTCCGATCTATCTGGAAGGCTCCTATAGCAGGTAGGATAAAAATGAACATTGATGCTGGTGAGGTGGGAGATGGATGGGGACTCGGCTGGGTTATTCAAGATTAAGTGGGTAGCTTCATAGCGGGAGGGTCAGCTAAGGTGCTCGAGAAGTGCTCTGTCCGTGAAGCTGAAATCTCGATCATGATTTAATTAATTATAATTAATTATTTTCCCTTAAAAACACTATTACTATTAAAAGGGTGCCTGGCTTTTTTTTGTATGTGTAGTATTGTATGAACATTTGAATTGGAATGATGAAACATTCTCATAGCTGTAAAACTCGCTACTATAATATACTACTCCGTACTATTAATTTTAGCCATATTTAATCGTTTATGTTCTATGGAAGTATGGGTATTAATTTCCTTCTTTATATGTATGGAATTAATCAACTTTCATACACTGAGTAGGACCTTAAATGCTTGCTTTATTATCAAAGTCTTTTTTAATATGGAAAAGCTACATTATTCGTTTGGAAACAAGTTGTAATTAAATTGGGTAAATTTTTTACTGATCATTTCTTGATAGGAGAATGCAGGGCTCACACTCATTCTTTACAACAATGAGAGTATGGATTCTTGAGATATAATGTGGACATGAAGGGATCTTGGGAATGTTAGAAAGACTAATGGTTGCTCAAGCTAAAAGAATATGTATTTGAGAGTACAATTATAAAACGAAATTAATTGTGTACATATGAAGACCTTTGAATAATTACGTGGCTTCGTAAGCAATCTGTTTGTTAGTTATCCCGTGCAACGCACGGGTAAAAGACTAGTATTCTAACTAATGTTACACCTTAGACTATAAAAATATGATCATTGTCATTTTAGTCATATTTTTGTGCACAAAGACTTTATTTATATTTAAAAAAACTATTAAAATTTTGTTGATGGGTAATCAATGACAGTATAGCATGTCTATATATTTGTTGTTGATTTCACAAATACAATCTCAATTTTGATGAACAATTTAAATAAAAATGATTCAATGCTACTGTTGTTAGAATTTCCGAACAATTTTGATTCTACTAGTTACTTTCGAACAATTTTGAGTATTAAATTTGTTAAAATCGTTAAACTTTAGAGTTTAGAATATGTTTGGCCCACCTGTTCCACTAAGGTTGTGAAACATCTCTGTTCCTATTTCTTCTGTGATCAATCACCAAGGTATAGCTGTAGACTATAGAGGTATGTTTTTTTCACTTCCGCCCCAATTCCCTGCTGATACAACTCCTATTCCCCCATTTGTCAAGCTTTGAAGATGAAATAATGCAACTGAATTGAAAGCCTATCAAGCTGTCAAGGAAAAACCATTGTTCTTCCCTTCTTGAACTTGTCGTTCAACTTCTTTAATGACATTTACCGCCTCTCACCCCGATACAAGGTCTTCAACCTGGAAGTTGGATTTGTCTTGGAATAGTTTGAGTGGTAACATTCATAGCAACATGTTTCTGATATAAAACTGTAAGATAGTTTATTTGAAGGCTAACATATTGTCAGGTCCTATTCCTTAAGCAGTTGAGGCTTTCAATTTGATTTGAATTGATTTTTCCCATAACACATACTATCATATCATAGTATATTGTCATTTGTGAAAACTGCAAATCCTTTTATTTTTTAATTCAATGTTGTTTGCATACCTGAGCCTATTGACTATTTTACTGGTGGAGGATCAGGCTCACTTGTATTTCTAAACAGCTCCCATCTATGTAGATGTGGACGATGGGAAAAAAGGGCACAGAATACATATTAGAGAGAATCAGACTCACTTTATACTTTCTTTATTTTTCTCAATATGGATGTTTAAATTCACTTGTACTAACAGTTAAGGAAATTATCTGAAAATAATAGCCTCATCAACAATACATAGAAGTAATGTTCAGACACTCCCATCAAGTTGTACGAGCATGCCATCATCCCAAGGAGTATACATAACATTCCTTTAGTGCAATACATAATAATATAACACATGAAGAAGGCACTGAACCAGAATCTATTTGCACAAGTAAAACGACACATCTATTCACTTGGATGTGTTTTCTATACGAGTTTCAGACTTCGATTGTATATTCTAGCATACGCACCGTAACACGGACGGACCTTAAAATCCTTCCATTCTTGAGTTATATGAATATTGCTTTCCTTGTAAACTTGAGTGTACCCCTTCAAATTTGAAATAAGTTCAACACACTTCCTTTTTCTTGTTAAATAAATAATCTTCATTTCTTGAGTTTCCATATCAACCGATATTAAATACGGTATATAGTTTTCTTCATCGGGATAACCATAACTTGTGCCCATGTCACCCTCCCTTCGATAATTGATAATATACGGATATGCTATCAAATGAAAACGTCCACCGCCCTGATTAATAATTCCAATAGGCGACCAGGATTCATCCCACGTCCCACATCCTACTGGATTCCAATACTCATGCCTGACTGTGCTTGGACAACATTCTACGCTCCACTTTTTATGCCAATCGACACAATCAGCATTTTCACTCATTAACCATATCTCAATGCAATTGCTATTCTCAAGAGGACATCGACTAATCATAGCAATAGTCTCATTCATCACTGTAAAGGAAATATCTTCCCATCTGGTTGGCAACCCGATCGTCCCAAACACTTCATCCTCCAAGTCAAACCATAGCAACCGTTCTTGAGAGAAAGGTGGTTCTGAATCCAGGTACTCATATACTTCTACCCGCCAATAGTACTTCCCCTTACAATAAAAGTCCTCACGAGAAACCACAGGCACATTTGGCAGAGCATCAATTTGCCTCCAGCTCCATGAACCATCACCATCTTGGCTGCAAACCATTACGAATTCGTAACTATGTTTGCCTTCGTAAGTACAATCTTTAAAATGCCAGAGCATGACAACCTTCCAAGCCATGCTCTTAGAAACCCCAAACCCAAAGCCTTCAAACATAGCATAGTCGACTGGTAATTCAGTGGGTGGGCTGTCAGGCACCTTAATCGAAGGTAAGGTCCTGATTTCCCTAATGAACGGGTTCCATATCAGGACATCGAAATTCAAATCCGTTGAAAATTGAAAATTCGTCAAAAGAAAATCAGATTTTCCCAGAATGAAACACAACATCCCATCGCAGCAACTTACAAATCTTGTCACTGAATTCGGGAAATCTAGGTATGTGCACCCTATTTCATCAGACTCAGATTCATTGTATAGCAGACTGAACATCTTATTTTTATTAGTATAGGGAAGATGTGCAGATGGGATCTCTAGAATAGCATAATCACATTTCTCTCGATTAACTTCATAGAATTTATGCAACAATTGATGATCGTTCTTTATCAAATCATAGAAGCATTTGCACACGCACTTACAACGCATAAGAGATTTCACTGGCAGCTTCACCAAGATCTCAATTAGGAGCTCCCTCGGTAACTTGCAGTCGTCCATTCCCGGATGCTGATATCGTCTTTCTGATGAATCTGATCTTTAAGGTCGAGATATTTATAAACGCGAGCTGCATAATAGATTGGGCCCGAGTGGATTGAGCCCGCAAATCACTTGCAGACCACATGAATTCCAGGTGCATTGGTATAATCCAATTTTAATTTAGGTTAGCACTCGCAAGTCAATTTAATTGTACATTTAAGAGTAAATTTCCAAAATGGGACTAAAACAATAGAGAAATATATAATTAGTACTATCATGTTTTTTGGAATTTTTTTTAGGGCTAAAATATAGTATCTTGACAAAATTAACCCTTAATATGAAATCTCCAGATTTTCGTATAGTTATTGTCCAGAGTAAAATTTCTCTAACAAGCACAAAAGGACTACTACTTTATAAATTCCCCAAATAGAACTAAATATTTATTTTCTACCCTAAATACCCCTAAGGGTATTACTTCATATTGAAATGTTTTAATTCATAATAAAATCGTAAAAAATAATAAAAATAATAAAATATTAATAAAATATTTATAAGATAAATGTATTAAAAAAATTAAAATAAAAAAATAGTAAAACCCATATTTGAGCATTACAAAAATTCTGCCACTTTTTGTAAAAATATGTATTTTTTTAAGATGCCAAGAAAATGACATTATTACTCTTCACAATGCCAAAATTTTAATTGAATCTTCCATTATTATGGCATTACTAAAAATGCTTGTAGATTTTCTCCTGTGATGGGAGCTGGTGGTGACAGAGGCGGTGGATATTTTTTTACTTTTTTTTTAATTGCTTTAAATCTATAAATATTTTATTAATTTATTATTGTTTTTTATGATTTTTTTATTTTTTACGATTTATATTAGTTTTTTACGGTTTTATTATTAGTTAAAATATTTCAAAATCTACAAGTGTATATTTGTCCAAAGACACATAAGTAGTCCTATTGGGGGATTTAAAAAATGTAGTCTAATTTGTGGTCAAGTTGTTATTATCTTGTATTTTCCTTTTATATAATAAAGCAGTAATAAATTAGACTTTAAATGGACAAGGGTCACATTTATGTTAGGGCCGAAGTGGCGAAGTCCCATCATATTACACTTTTACGTCATTGAACCTTAGTTGTATAAATGCACGATGAATGGAAATGTTAAGAAGACAAAGCACATAGCCGCAGATCATATTCAGAAAATCTTTTCTAATTCACGCTAGATATAGATTTCTAGTGTTCTTGTTATTCCTTCATAAATTCTCAATGAATTTTCTTTCTACCAGAATTTGTATAATTGTATTGTGTTTTCATTACTATTGTAGTTGCTAAAATAGGACCTAATAGGCTAATAGGTACTCCCGGCAAACCACCATAGTTGTCACCCTTCGGTCAAACCACCGCCGCTGCCGCTATCCGCCTATCCGGTGAGTCTCTTTCCTATCTTTGATGAGATTGCCATGTTTTTAGGAATGACACAATAATGGCATTTTCTTGTAAAAATCATGGCTTTTTTTTTTAAAAAAGTGAAGAATTTTTGAAATTAAATTTGTGGCTTTTTTGTAAGAATTATGACATTAATGAAATCAAAATTATGGAGATTGAAATAAAATTCAAAATATAAGAATAAAAACAAAGTTAAAAAGTCAATAAGAAAATGTCATCTTTATAAAGTCAATGATACAAAACTGACATTATTTTGTCAACCGGCCAAAAACATGACATTCTAAAGTTTTATAATTCCAAAGTAATATTGTCATCTAGATAGGTGGTGTAATGCCACAAAATGACACTTTTCGAATCACTAGTAATTTTATAACATTTTCAGATTCCAAATTAATAAACAAAATTCAAATCCAAAGAAGAAGAGAACAAAGTTCGAGAAATTTGAATAGGAGGAGGAGGAGGAGGAGGAAGATGATAATAAAATTTATATCCATTTGATCGTTCTAGATACCAGATAAGTTCGTATTTTAACAAGCATTTGATGTGTGTTGGGATTGATTTTTGTCACTTTTCCTAATCTAAATGAGTCACAAAGCGTTTAATTAGCTTAAGTCACGTTTTATCGGGTTTGGTTTGCGCTTGTTGTTTTTAGAAGCGAAAGTCATGAATTTGAACTCGACATCGGCGTTGGAGAATAACTTGGGAGGATTTCAGACGTGATCGAGTGATGACAAGAGGCATTAGAGATCTACAGGTCAATTAAAGAGCATATTTAGAGTCAAAAGAAGTCAAAGAATGAAGGTGAGATCGATCGGGAATGAACGAGGAAGAAAAGAGCAAGAAAATGGCCCAAAAGAGGTCCGTGCCTCCCACGTACCTAGGCCGCACACCACACGGACGATTCAGAGAGCATGAAATCCGGAAATCTTAGTCGTGCGTCCCACGTGCAAGTTCACACGCCGCGTGGTTCATAACGTAGCTTTAGGAGTGTCCGCATGGTCAGACCGTGCGGGGTGTCCGCACAACGTGAATTTTGACGAGAGTTTCTTTTCGGAGGTCCATGCTGCCGTCTGCAAGCCGTGCGGACGACCCCGCAGATCGAATTTTGCTCACTTTTTGTTGTTTTCTTTGAATTCAGTCTGTTTTGCCTGTTTTTTATTATGAGCTTAGAGAGAACCCTAGAACGATTTTTGAGAGCTTTTCAAGCCTTGGATTGTCAAGAGTTTGGGATACTTTATAAGTTCAATCTTTTTAATTATATTAATGACAATTAATTCTTTTCTTCTCAATTCTATTGTTAATACAATTATGAATTGTGAGTAATTTTAATTAGGGATTTGGGATTGATGAAGGGGTTAATTATGATTTAGGGTTAATTTCTTGATGGTTTAATTGCATGATCTTTATTTAATTTGTGTTTAAATAATTTAATTGATATCTTTTGTAACCTGGAACGGGCGCTAGCTAGGATTATAATTGCACATAGAGTAAATTAAGAGAGACCTAATTTATTTTTGGATACTTTCACACACTTAATCGTTCGCTAAGAGATTAGTAACGGTTAAGGGGGCATACGCTCGCTCGTTTTGGCAATAATTTAGAAACCTGTCACATGAGAAATCAGCCGGGTTCCCTTAATTATTGTATTGTATGCCACGAGAGCGGTAAGAATTTAGTATTGACTAGCGTTGCTCAATTAAATAATTTTCTTGTGATTAAATTTGACCAGCCCCGATATTTGATTACCGTGGAATCAATCCATGTTCCCTATCGTCATTAATTAGAAGAAACCAATTAATTTAACTGCTTAATTGCTTTAGTTAATTTTCCGAAAATCCAAATCTCGCACAATTGCATTTATTTTAATCGCTGAATTTTGTTAATTCATTATTTCCTTTTTCGTCCCTGTGGAAACGATACTCGTACTTTAGCCCTATACTGCTACATTTCATGGCAATGTTGCATTTTGGTACCTTAACTCTTAAATGAATCAAAACAGTACCTTAACTATACATAAAAGTTTCAAATTGAGATTTTATTCAAATTTACGATAAAAAAATCCTTGGTCAGAAATTTAAATAAAATCTCAATTAGAAACATTTATGTATAGTTAAGGTATCTTCTTGATTCATTTAAGATTTAAGGTACCAAAATACAACATTCTCAATAGTTAAGGTACATTTATGCATTTGACCCTATGTTATTAATACTTTGATGTATTAAAACTTCAAACATCTAATGACTTTTTCCTTGAAATATCATTATGACTGTTTGGGTGAGGAATCACCAATATAAGAGAGTTCATACTCTGCACTAAAATGACACTCAATGTAGAAGCACCAAAGTAACTCATAACTCAGAACTTGCTTGCAAACACACGTTCAAGACCCGTACTTTAAATTTAACTCTGAAAAAAAATTAAGACAACAACAAACATTGAATATTAGTAACAACCCATCAAAATAACCGAATAGATATACAATTGGCAGGAGTAAAAAGAATGATATAAATTGTTTAACTTATTAATTAATCGTCAGTTTACCTTCTTCAATACGTAGTATATGCTAATCACACTTGTGAGTTGTGACGATTCCTAATGTTGCTAAAGACTTTGTAACATGCAATGATTCATATCATCATTTCTTGTGACATTGTACTCAATGAACATGTATTCTTTGGTTGAATCCATTTGAGTTTCATTTTTGTAAAGGATAGATTTAGGATATGTGGTGGACCAGCTCAAGTTCCAGGTATGTTCCCTCATCTTCCATTTAGATTTTTATGTTTATGTATGTTGT